TGGTATTTAATATATTAACTATATTTAAAGCACAAACAGGACCTAGGATTTAGCTCAGTGGCTCGGCACCTGCCTCACAAGCGAAAGGTCCTGGGTTCCATCCCCGGTACAAAAACAAAGCACAAACATATATTGAGATTAATATATCCCAACGCTTACACAGGCAGACCTACCATTTCCTTGTGGGGTGATGGGAGCAGTTTGCCCCATCTCTTTAGGTACCGGGGATCGAACTCGGGTCCTTGCACTTGCACAGCAGCCGGTGAAACCACTGAGCTAAATCCCCGGCCTGCTCCATCTCTTTAGAAACAGCCACAGTTACTCAGTTCTGAGGAGGCAGCCTTACCTGCAGCCACCTGTACTGCCAACTCAACCTCCCTCCCTAAATGCTCTCCCCTCATTCTCTTCCTGGGAAGAAAGACTGGCAAAAGCATTGGGAGCCCAGGCCCTCCAACACTGCCCCCACTAGGGTGGAAACTGCAGTCATTCAGGATGCAGAAGGTCTTCCTTAAATAATCCAAATATTTTTCAGATTTCCAGAGAGGTAACAGAGTCCAGACTATTCCAACTCAAAACACTTGAGGGTAGATGCTAGGTTGATTCATTGCTCTTCAGAAGTGAGGTTCCAGCTGGGCATGGTGGTGTATGCCTGTACTTCCAGCATTCCGGAGGCTGAGGCGGGAGGATCAGTGATTTCCAGTCTTACAGAAACCCCCAGATGGCTCCAATCATCCCAAGACGCGAGGGTCTCACTATGTACTTCAGGCTGGACTTGAACTCACTGTGTAGCCCAGGCTGACCTCAAACTTGCAGCAATTCTCCTGCCTCAGCCTCCCAAGTGCTGGGATTATAGGTGTGCACCAGTATTCCTGGTGATTTCCTTTTTCTAGTGTGAGGGATAGAGCCCAGGGCTCTGTACATGCCAAGCATATGCTCTCTCCCATTGAGTTCCATCCCTGGTCCTGAAATTATTTTTTCAAAATTAAGAATCCCTAGGGGCGGGGATTTAGCTCAGTGGTTCCACCGCCTGCCTCGCAAGCTAAGGACCTGAGTTCAATCCCTGGTACCAAAAAAAAAAAAAGAATCCCTGTTAGCTAGGCATGGTGGTAAATGTCTGCAATCCCAAATACTGGGGGAGGGGGCTGAGGGAGGAGGACAGCAAGTTCAAGTCCCAGCTGGGCAACTAAGCAAGACATGTCTGAAAACAAAAAACCAAAAGGGTTGGAGATGTAGCTCAGTGCAAAAGTCCTACGTTCAACTCCAGCATCCTGGGGGGAAAAAGAACCTGTTTTATTTTTTATTTGTGCATTTAATGTGGTACCGGGGGTTGAATCCAGGGCCTTCCCACTGAGCTACATTCCCAGTTCTATCTATCTATCTATCTATCTATCTATTTATTTATTTAGAGATAGGGTCTTGCTATGTAGTCCAGGCTGGCCTTGAACTCATGGAGCCCAAGCTGGTCTTGAACTGGCAATCCTCTTGCCTCAGCCTCCTGAATGATGGGTTTACAGGTGTGCACCCCCATGGCTGGCCTTTTATTTTTTATTTTTATTTTTGAGACAGGGTCCACTAAGTTGCTAAGTTGCCCAGGCTGGGCTGGAATTTATAATTTTCCTGTCTCAGTCTCCCAGAGTATGGGTATTACAAGCATGTGCCATTGCACCCCAGAAGAAGCCCTGTTTTACATACCACTGCTGAATCAGGAGGCTGAGGGTGAAGAGCTGCTCCAGTTCCCAAGAGAAGTACGGCCATTTCTCCTTCCCTACCGCTCCAAATGGAGGAACACACTCTATACTTCTCTTTCCCTCTCAGCCCCTTCCTTAGTCCCCCTTACCAATAGGAAAGTAAAAACCAGGAGAAGAAAAAAATAAAAGAGTAATTTAGAAAATACAATGAACAAGAGAAAAGGTCAGGGGAGGGAAGTGAAGTGAAGGGCAGAGACAGCTGGAGGAAAGCAAGAGGAAGAAGCAAGGTAGCTCTGGCCGCCCTGGACCCGGGACAACAGGGCCCCCAGCCTGCTCTTCTCAGGGTCTCCCAGGCAACTCCAGCCTCTGCACCTCCCAGCTCCCTCCGAAGACCTGAAGAGAGGTAAGGCAGGGATTACAGCAAAGGGGTATGTGACAGAGGACGCAGGGTCCCTGAGTGCTGGGCTCCCCTTGCTGCTGCCAGGAAGGGCTAAGACACCAAGAAGCAAGGATGATAGCATGTGTGCGGCCCTCCCATTCCTACATGGTTCATCCCCTCCCCTTGCTGCAGATCTCACCTGCTCTCTCCCCACCTCTGCAGATGGAGACGAACAGTCTTATAAGCTGCAGCAGCTGTGGCCAATACCTCAGCTCCCTTCTCCAGAGGACAGCAGCAGCAGGAAAGGGAAAGAAAAAGAAAGGGTACAATAATAATCCTAAACCTTTTCATCTCAGGAGCCCCCAAATTTAAATTTATCATTTGCTCCATTCTCAGCATCTCTTCCTCCCTCCCTGGCTCATAAGCAAATGATCAAACAGGGCTTTGCTGAGAGGAAGCACGGAGCCATTGAGCCGGCATCTTCTCCCAGACTGAATGGGGGGATTACATTATACAAAGAAAGGATGCACCTGTTTCCAGAGGTGGCATGGGGTAGAAAGTGCTCATAAAGAGTCCCAGATTGCTGCTGCAAGAAAGATGATAATTTGAAAGGGTTGAAATTAAAGGTCCAAATTGAGGTTGCTTATGGAATTTAAAGGGGATGCAAAGAACATGGAGCGGGGAGACCGGAAATGAGGGGGGAAAAAAGACAAAAGAACAAGAAAAATAGACACAATATAGTAGACAAAGGGGAGATACCATAAAAAATATAGCAGCACAAGTAAGACAGAAACACAGAGAAGGGAGCCAGCACCTGCAAAGCAAGATGTTACAGCTGGAGAGGGGTTAGGAAAAGCAGGAGAGCAATAGGGAGCAGGGGGAAAGGCTGTGAGCCCCAGAGCTGAGAAGCAGATCTTTCCTTCATCTGTCTTCAGCCTGTCCATGACTACACAGGCTTTGCTCACACTCAGTTACTCCCCCAGCTCTGCCGGAAGATCCCCAGGGTCTGTGCGGCACACCCCACACCAGTTGACCCTCACATTCACCCGTCTCTCCTACTCCAAAACAGACATGAAGGCCACCCTCAAGGTCTGGCTAGCCCCTGGGTGCGCCTGTGGGCTGTGTTGCATGTAATCATCTCCTGCAGCCCAGAATAATGGGGCTCTTAAGGCCAGCTCATCCTTCCCTCCAAAGGCCAGAGGCTGCCCGGGGGCTGCTGACTCTCAACAGCGATTTAGAGCTGTGTGCTCGGCAATCCAAGAAAGCAGACCCCCACGCAGTGATCCTCCATTTTTCCCAGGCTGCCAGCGCTGCATCAATTTCACCGGCTCTGCAGCCCTTTAGCGAAAACAAAAGGAGGCAAAATGGCCCAGTTCTAGACTTCTCCAGTAGGCCGAGGCAGGGATCCTGGAAGACTTCTGAGTGATGATGAGCTCATCTGATGAGTGCCATGCCGGGCACAGACTCCCGCACAGGAGGGAGACAAACACCAAGACAGTCTTTTAGGGGTGGGAGTGTGGGTGTCAAAACCTTGAGCTGTGCTTTCCAAGGGCCTGAGGCAGAGACAAACTAGCATGACAGTGAGAGAACTAGAAATAATTGGAAAGGGAAGGGGCAAGCAGTCCCAGGCTTCAGAGGTAGGAAATAAATAATGTCCAGAAGGGTCTGGCTCTGAAGTGGACCAAATGGCTCTCTTGTCCCATGTTTATGGGGTCACGGGCCATTAAGCCAGCCAACCTACAGATGTCTTCATAAGACTTTACGAGATTAGACTGGGGAGACCCCATAACTCAGCAGCAAGAAAGGAAAACAAGAGGGAATTGCAGATAAGAGCTGGTACAAACAAGGACTCTGTTCTGGGAGCCACGTTTCTGGGGGAGGTGTCTGGGTTCTGGGATTTTCCCATCTCCCTCATGGCTCACTCTTCCGGAGATTTTTGGACCATCTCCAGTGGCCCTCAGGCCTGCACTGAATTCGTGTTATCCAACTAATTCTGGATTACCCAACATACTCTTCCCTTCCTAATCCACCTTGCAATTGGCTCTTGCCACTTTCTAGCCCAAGTTTGATACCAGGAATTGAACTCGGAGCCTCACGGTTGTCAGGCAGGTGCTGAGCCACTGAGCTACATACATCTGAGCTACATCTCTGGCCTCTCAGTTTCCTTAGGACTTGAGAAACAAATCAAAGACAAAAGTTACATTTACAAATGCACATGCACTCAGATTTTTAAACCTGATCTAGACTGTTTGATGCGATGTTTAAATTTTAAAGTCCAATGACTCAGGTTTTGTTACCCTGCAGCACCAGGGATTGAGCCCAAGGCCTCCACACTGAGCTACATCCCCAACCATTTTTTAAATTTTGAGACAGAGTGTTCCTAAGTCACTGAATTGCCCAAGATGGGCTTGAACTTGATTCTCTTGCCTCAGCCAGTGCTGGGATTACAGGCCTGCACCACCAGTGGGCTGACATGCACTGTAAGGGTGCATGAGCTCCTGAAACCTCTCTATTGTTCTGTGAACTGTCCAGAACAAGAGTATGGGAATCAGGAAAGCACACAAACTCAACCATTTCAGGGATTAGGGCAGAAAAAAGGACATATTCTCTTATTTTCCCCAGCTTGCACTACCCTGTGGCTATCTGTGAAGTCTGAGACTGGACGTCCAAAAAAACAAAAACCCTCTGAGGACAATGACCCTTAGAAAAAAGCCCATTCTCCAAGTCTTGTGGCTTTTTCAGGAAAGAGGATAGGATATTTGACTAAAGCTAACAATCCAGGACCCAAATTAAAAAGGGACATAAGGCCAGAGATGTAGCACAGTGGTGCTATGCCTGCCTGGCAGATGTAAGGTCCTGAGTTCAATTCTCGGTTCTGGGTGTGTGTGTGTGTGCGTGATGTAAGACTCAGCTCTTCAATCTACCAGTAGAGATCCGTATTTGAAAAGCAACCATTTATTAGAACCAATACAAGAGTATGAAAAGGGAGAAGAGAAGGGTGGAAGAGGGGGAGAGAATGAGGTCTGAATCAGATGTCAGTTGTGGAAACACATAAATGCCTACTTTTAAACATTTACATTTAAAAAGTGAACATACATATAGATCACTTATCCTTTAAAAATAATCAAAAGCAGACATGTTTGGCTGAAATAAGACCAAGAAACATAACCAAAACTCTCCCACAAACCAAAGTCCATAGAAAATTCAAGGTCTCGTTTTCATTTAGAAGTCTGGCTACAGAGTGTGACTTGCTTTGCTTCTCAGGATGATGCAGTGCCGGAAGAAACCCAGCCTCTTGAGAGTCTCTCAGATCCCATCCGGTGGGAAGTGGCAGCAAGGCCAGCAGGCCATGGTGAGTCAACTCCTGGCTACTTGGCAGGATGTCAGACTGTGCTCTCCATCCTCTAGGACTCCACAGAACCATCCGGTACCGCTGGTGCTGAGGGAACAGTGGGAGCAGAGTCCACAAAACACAGAGAACTGGAATGTGATCGCTAGGAGCCAGAACCTTGTGCTTTTTCATGGGTTATGAATCTAGGGCCAAGAGGGGGAAAGAAGAGCCCTATTGGGAAGAGGAGCAGTCTGAGCCCCTAAACTGAGATGGAAATAAGGCTCTTAAGCCCACACCTGGGCAGACAGAAGTAGTGTCCGAAGTTTTCTCAAATCAGAGGGAGAAAAGGTCAAGGCCAGGTTCAATCTGTGGACACTGAGAGATGACAGATACTAAATATAGTGAATCATATAAAGCCTTAAGGATCAATACACAATTGTGAGTGTTAAGAGTATTTCAGGAAAAAAAATTCTAATGTAGCTCTTTTGGCGGGGAATGAAGAGGTTGTTATTTTTATTGAACCACCTGGTTTCTATGAGAGCTTAGAAGCATGAAGGAATGCAGTGACCTAGCTGCCCTGGGATCAGTTTTGATACAAATCAAAACCAAGGGTTGCTTTGCTTCTGAGACAGTCTGAGTTGGCTCCAAATCCACAGGAAATGGGACCTTAGTTCCCAAACTGCAGAGAAGGATAAGCAGTAGCATCCCGGCCTCATGATTCCCTAGTCCAACACTCTTGGGTTTGAAATAGCCTCTTTTTGTGAATGTAGGACACAAAATACTAGTGCCTTCCTCCATAACATCCTAAGTTAAGTCTGCACTATTACAACTCCAACATTCACAAAAACACTGTCATCTGAACTAGCAGCTTTGATGAGGGGTGGGAGCACAGAATTTGCCGAAGTCACTAAGTAGTTCCAAACCTGGTGACAACTCAGTGAGTATTAAAACCTGTGTCAGGCTTGAATTTCGGCTCCAGGGGTCCTCCACAGAGGACCCTAAAGTATTCTTCAACTTTGATTTACAATGCCTCACAACACCCCTGTGAGGTAGGTCAGTATTATTACCCCCATTTGACAGATGGGGAACTGAGGCATTGAAGGAATGACTTGCCCAAGGTCAGGCATTATGAATCAGTTGAGCAGGTTGGCACACACAGTGAGCATCCACTCAATTCTTCTGCTGCTTCTCAGAGTATACTTCAGAGCAAAAGGAAGTTGGCAGGTACACTGTACTCTGCAAACCAGATGAACTCAATCAACCTACAAGACTAACTGAGGACCTATCACTTATCTAGCCTACAGTGAAGAACACTGGAGAAACCATCAGCTTCTGAAAACCATGTTAGTGGGTATTTTGAAAATAAAATTACATTTTAAACATTAAGCACATGGATTCTTTTGTAAAAAAAATTCTTTTCACTTCAGAGATAAAAGACTAAGTCACACCAATTTCTCAAAGTTTTGTACCGAGTAACCCAATTTCTTACACTAGAGAAGCAAGACCCCTCTTAAACAGGAAGAGTAAGAACTACTGCCTAGGGGCCAGGGATTTAGCTCAGTGGTGTGGGTTTCTGCCTCACAAGCAGAAGGTCCCGAGTTCAATCCCCAGTATCAAAAAAATCCCAAAAAACTACTGTCCAGTGGTGGGCTGTGGGAACCCTAGCACCCCACATGCCTCCTGTGTGGCACCTCTCCTCACCCCAAGAGCTACAGCATCTCCAAAACAGTTCAAGATTAAGGACATAAATGGTGATCTCTATAACTGTCCACACAGACTTTTACAATATTCTTTCCTCCTGCCAGAGGCAGAACAGTTAACACCAGAGGGGGCAAAAGAAAAACAAAAACATACCCAACAGTAACAAAACCAAACCAAAAAACCAGCTGATACCTTCTCTACCCACTTTGGTTTGACTGGATTCTGACAGAAATTATGTCCCTTACCCTAAAACTACAGGGATGAGGAGGGTTCCAAATCCACAGCCAACCCTGTTTTAGAATGAAATCCTAGAGCTACTGGAATCTGGAAAACACTGTTTTGAGCCTTAAGAGCTCTGAGACACAAGCAAACTGTCGCTTCAGCTGTGCTCAGAAAATTTCCAGCCAAAATACCCCTCCCTTCCTTTCATGGCCCTCACCGCAGCCAGTGTTAAGGAGACTCTACGAGCAACAGAAGCTCAAAGACACACAATACAAGGTTTACAAGGGACATCTTGTTCCAGGACTCATTCTAAGACCTATAAGCTTTTTCTCTTTTTTCACTGACAGGTGATCACACTGGACAAATCCAGGTGATGAGAAAGTTCAAGAATGATGTTTTTGGCAATGACATTTCAGGTTCTGTCTGTTTGGGATTCCTCCCCTCTAAAAAAAGCTCCTTAAAAATGTGATGAATAGACCACTTGGGCTTGGATCAACTGTTAGGGTCACACCTGCCAATGCCAGGGGACATCACACACTCACTCTCACACACACACACAAATAAAGAATGACAAGATAAAAAGTTCATTGCATTCAATTTGGCCTAATTTCTTGATAATAGTTTCCTATTATATTTTCCGATTAATACTGATGGCTCTTACCTAGGCTGTGATAATTAGGTTTTGATCTATTGTGACATTAATGATCACAATCAGTTGACTTTGAAATTGTCTTAATTAATGGCTCTTTCCTTGTCAGCTTTTGCCTCCAGTGCAGGATCCATTCCCTCTCCCACCACTTTGTTTTAACTCTTTCTTTTACTAACCTAAAGAAGACAAATAGTATTAAAGGATCACTTCTTTCCCAAAAAACTAGATTTTAAACTATTTTAAAACAGTTCTCTGACAGAGGAGCAATGTGAGATGTTAGGTGAAATGAGGACCAGGACAAAAGGCAAGAGAATGAAGTATCAATGAGCAGGAAAAAATTCCATCTAAAAAATAACCGTAGTCAAGCACAATGTTCAAGTGGCAATGACAGGCAGAAGTAACTTGAGAAAGACAAGATGAGGTAGATTAAAATCCAAGAAATTCAGCACAAACAAAAAGAAACTAGAATTGTTTTTATGAAGCTATCTAAAGAACTTCATACTTTAACCTCCACAATAGTGGGCTGAATTCTTGGGAATTCTGACTTCCAAAGCTAGCCAACACAATTATCCAGGCAGAACTAAATTCTTTTTCTTGAGATCACATGGGTCAGAATAAAGAACACTGTTGAGATCAGAGTGCTTTGTTTTTGTAGTACTGGGGAATAAACCCAGGGAATGCTAAGCTACATCCCCGCCTTTTTATTTAATTTTGATACAAGTCTCATTAAGTTATCCAGGCTAACCATGAACCTGCAACCCTTCTGCTTCACAGGCATGTGCTACTATACCATACAAAGTCAGACAATTTTCTTAACTGGGAGAGGCTTCACCCTATACCCACCTAGACTTATTGAGTCTGAGACTCCAGGGTAAGTGTATTTATGGGAAAGGTTTCCACCTGACACAAGTCCCTGCTGATAAAATTACTTTGTTTTGTGGTACTAGAGACTGAACCCAGTGCCTTCACAATGAGCTACATCCCCATCCCTTTTAAAAATTTTGAGACAAGGTCTTGCTAAGTTGCTCAGGCTGGGCTCAAACTTGCAATCCTCCTACCTCAGCCTCCCAGAGTGCTGGGATTACAGGCATGGGCCACTGCACCAACAGCAAGAAATTACCCTCTTTCAGTGCCTGAATGAACCTGTATTACCCAGAGATAAATACTCAGATATTAACAGATGTGCCAAGCCTTATTAACAAAGCGTTTGTTATTAGATTGTAATGATGGGAGAAAAAAAAACCAATGTAGCTCTCTCCAGGTTTAAAATGGGCACTTCCATCCAGGCTGACCTTCCCAGCAGTTGATCTTAACACATCTGCTCAGGATTAGAAGACTTACTAAATTGTCCTTGGTGCTCTCTGGGGAAAGCACTGCTGAACTCTGTAGAAAGGGTTATCATTTACTGCTCATTACTAGAAGAAATTCAGCATTGGAAAGATGTTTTAAAAGAGAATTAAGCACAGAAAAAAAACCTGTGATCACCTGAGACCTAGGTGTTTAAAAGTGCTTTGCCCATGGCTACTAACTCTTCAGAGGGGAGAAACTTCCATGAAAGTTTTCTGTTTGAGGCTACAAATTTCTAAGGGAAAGGACAGCTACTCAGCACTAACAAATGCTAGAGGAATAGGCAGGTATCTGGTTTCCTTTGTGGTGAGGTCCACTCCTGTAAAACCAGCTCCCATTAGCAAGGAGAGAACACAAGGTGTTTTGGTGACAACTCAGTGAAAAACCACGATTCTATAAACTGGAAAAAGGACAGAAAAAGATGAAGTGAAGAGTATTAAAGGAGTAATGAGTGGTAGATGATACTGTGGTTATTTAGGTAGAAGAAAATCAGAGTTTGATTACTGTCTTGAACATTAACTATAACCACGGTAACCATATGCTTCTGATTTCTCAAGATCAATCTTAGTATCAAATATTGCTCTTTTTTGTCCACATGCTAGGTGTTTGGTTTTAAAGACATGGTCACTGCAATTTACATGGCCACTACTACTGGGATACACAGGCTAGTGGGACTGACTGTCATTTTCTCCAGCTGCAAATCCAGAGGCTCAGATCACCTCCTCAGGAGCCCTGGCTTACCTTCCTCCTATTCTCATCTGCCCTACTGATATCCTTGGTTACTTGTATGATAAATCTGTTTTCTGACCATCCTTCTTTGTGGTGCCCACCAGAGTAAGTATAAGCAACTGTCAATTATCCAGCACTTGATCTAGTTTTTAATTCCCTCAGACAGCAATGGAATATGGAGATAGAAACTCCCATCCACATAAGGTATGGGTTATGAGCTCTCACCCAATCACATTACCATTCAGAAGGATTTTCTTAGGCTGACTCAAACCAAAAGCTTCATTGTTCCAGTCTGTCATGTCACTGCAGCAACAGCTGTCTCTTTAACTGTGCAGTGTAATTTTTGACATAATTGATAAAAGCTCACAGAATTCAATCAGCAGCTGAGCAGGGAAGTGATTTTAACAAATGCTACAAATGAGTATATGATTTGCATATTATTTGGCTCATCTGTGGACTGGATCAATCCATCCATGCCCCTCATTACTATGAATAACCTAGAAATGGTTGAATGCTTCTGGCCAGACAGCTGTGTATTTTAAAACTCAAAAGCAACTAACTACACAAACTACCTCAGTGGCTGGTGAACTTTAGAATTAAGGCTGCTTCAAGCATTTTTCTCATTCCCTCAGCTTTGGGACTGAGACAAAGATGCCAAAAACCCTGCCATTTCCTTCAGTAGACCCCTCAACTACAGGAAAGGATGAAGAGAAGCAGAGAATTTCTTAGCGGACAAAGGCAGAGAAGGATATGATCGCGAAAAAACAAAAACAAAACCAAAAAAACCTCTCAATACAATAGCAAAGCAGAGGAAATCAAAAGGGAAATATTTTGCTGAGTAGCGAGAAGTTGTACCAATATGCTAATGCCAGGACCTGCCACTTTCTCAGGTGATAATCTTCCATGGAAATTCATTTTGCAAATATAAAATACAACCAGGGCTGGGGATTTAGCTCAGTGGTTTCACCGCCTGCTGCGCAAGTGCAAGAACCCGAGTTCGATATCCGATACCAAAAAAAAAAAAAAAAAAAAAGATACAACCAAAATTTCAAGAGTGGAAAAAGGGAAAAGGAACTCCTGGTGGCAAATCCAGGAGTGAAGCAAGCAGAAAACTTGTAACTGCTGAGTATTTAAAAGTGACTCTGTGGCCAATGGTTCCCCTCTAAGAACTCCCCACTGAAAATAATGGTGTGGAAGGGAAACTTGGATCCACTGAGAAGTAAGATCAGGTTTGAAGCCTCTTTGGTAACAAGAATGCTTTGGGAGGCCACAAAAGTTGGCAAGGTTGGAGGGTGCCTAGCACCTTGGCACAAGCAAGCACCAGGCAATCACTCACATCTACATAAATATATAGTCTAAATATGGGGGACGGAAGGAGAGAATACACACAATCTATGTGATAATGAAAAACAACTGTATCTGCCCCTACCCCATCATCCTGTACTACAGCTTAGGCTCTCCAGTTAATAATCTTGTCATTTCATGACAAACTGACACCATCATACAGAAGCAGAATCAGTGATTGCTAAGAACAAGGCCAAAGAGGCTAAAAGGAGTGTCCTGACAAATTCTGATGTAAAATTTCAAGTCCTCAAAAGGACAGAGTTATTCTGGGAAGAGGGGTGAAGATGACCAACAGAAGGTGGCCAAGAAGACCACACCGGGGACCCTGTATTCTCCTGGGGAGAGCTGAACAAGGTTGGGAAAGCCCAATAGGTAGACAGTTGCTACTGGCTTTTTAAAAGATGGGCAACATCCTTTCCAACCCAACATGTTAAAACAAAGGCCAGCTGGTCATCAACATGTTCTAAGAAATAAAGCAAGAAACAAAAATTCACCATCTTTGCTATAACATCCCCCAATCTAAAAGCAACCAACCCTGAAAAGATCAAGACTCTAAGGTAATTAAAAGTTAAAACTTATCTTTAGGTCACAGGGGAGCAGAAGAGATTAGGGCAAAGGAAAACTTTGTAGGAATTACACACAGTATGTAAATGCCTGGTCTTCACAGAGAGACACTTATCATGAATCAGACCATCAGTTATGTTACAAGAGAACCAATACCAACATTTCTCCTGTGGAGCACAGTGATAAGCACATTTTTATGGATGTGTTTAGGATAGAAGGGTGTGGGTAGAAGGGAGAGGAGGCAGGGAGGTGAATGTATTATGTACAAAGAGAAATGACAAAGACCACCCCCTCCTTTAGCTTTTTGCGGTTTCTTTCTCTTTGTTTTCCGCATCCTCAGGATATGCATGCCACGTCAGTCTCTCTTCATAAAATGCTATCACAATTTGCGGACATTTCACATTAGCTTCTTTTGCAAGAACCAGGTCAGCCTCATCCGTGTCTTTCCTAGAGAGAAACAATATGACACTTAAAAGGAGAAGAAATAAGAGTGAAAGAATCTGGGGGCCAGGGATTTAGCTCAGTGGCACCGCCCCTGCCTCCCAAGCGCAAGGTCCTAAGTTTGTTCCCCGGTACCCTCCCCCCCGCAAAAAAGAATCTGTCTAAATATAGGTTTGTATCATTATATGGACTTAGTTGACTTGATTTCCTCACCTTGATTTCAAGGTGAAAAGAACTCTAATGGAGGAAGGGTATGGTTGCACACACCTGTAATCCCAGCACTTGGGAGGATCACTAAGAGTTCAAGGCCAGCCTAAGCTACATACTGAGCTCAAGACCAGCCTGGACTACATAGCAAGAACCTGACTTAAAAAAGCAAAACAAAACAAAAACACTAATGGGGCTGGGGGTATAGCTCAGTGGTAGAGCACATGCTTAAAATGTGTGAGGCCCTAGATTAGATTCCAACCTCTACCCCCAAAAAACAGAAAAAAGAAAAGCCAGGAGTCGTGGCATATGCCTATAATGCCAGCACTCTGAAAGGCTAAGGCAGGAAGATTCCAAGATGGTGCCCAACCTGGGCAACTTAGTGAGACTAGGTCTCAAAATTTTTTTTTGGTACCAGGGATCAAGCTCAGGACCCTTGTGCTTTTGAGGCAGGCGGTGGAACTAGGTCTCAAATTTTAAAGAGGGAGAGGGAGGG